GGAGGGAGGACACTTTCTTGGTTAGTTCTTTATCTTTTCTTGTACCTCCACTTCTCTAATTTGAGGGAAACCAAGTACCCGCTAGTTTTGAGGCTTTGGTGGGGTGCTTTCTTCCTCTTTTCTTGTTATTGCCTTGTTGTGGACTTCTTATCTTACAAAAAGTACCACCCTTTATCAGTTTATCAGTTTTGGGCATCTGATATTGCTTCGTTGATCATGGGATTCATCTTATCTTGCATTGGATATCTAGGCAAGAAAAATGATGAAATAACTGCTCTGCAAGAACCCCTTTTGATTGCTGGTGATGCTTTTGGTATTAGCAAGTCCACTGTGAAAGCGGAAGAAACCGTGACCCCTTATGCCAATGCCGGGATTTTCAGCCTTATTACATTTTCTTGGTTGAGTCCCTTAATAGCCCTTGCGAAGAACAAGAAAACGCTAAACCTTGAAGATGTTCCTCAACTTGCGAGTTGTGACAGTGTTAGGGAGGTTTTTCCAATTTTAAACAATAAATTGGAGACTTATTCAAGACAAAGTAACAATAAAGTCACTGCAATGATGCTCGCAAAAGCATTGCTTATTACAACATGGAGGGAAGTTGCACTGTGTGGATGCCTTCAACTTGTGCACACGGTTGCTTCATATGCTGGTCCATACTTCATTGACAACTTTGTTCAATACTTAAGTGGACATCACACGTACAATAATGAAGGCTATGTATTAGCTACAATCTTCTTTGTTTCGAAGTTGTTCGAGTGCCTGGCACTAAGGCATTGGATATTCAAGGTGCAGCAGACTGCTTACAGGGTGAAGGCAGCACTTGTTGCGAAAATCTACAACAAGGGGTTGAAGATTTCAAACAAATCGAAGAAAGACCATGCATTTGGGGAAATCATAAACCTTATCTCAGCTGATGCTGAAACGATCTGTAATGTTGGTTGGGTCATGCATGAACCGTGGATGTTTGTCGTACAAGTTGCCCTTGCATTGGTGATCTTGTATAAAGACCTTGGTCTTGCTTTTGTGGCCGCACTTGTTAGCACATTTTTGGTGATGTTAGCCAATTTTCCCGTGGGATGGTTAGAGGAGAAATATCAGGAAGGGCTGATGAAATCCAAGGATGCAAGGACAAAGACGACTTTTGAGGTCTTGAGGAACATGAGGATTCTGAAACTTCAAGCTTGGGAGTTGAGGTTTCTCAATAAGATCTTTCAGTTAAGGAACATTGAGACAGAATGGTTGAAGAAATACCTTTATACTCGAGCCCTTGGCTCGTTTGTTTTCTCTGCTGCTCCTATATTTGTGTCTGTTGTCACATTTGGTACTTGTATGCTTCTGGGCAACCCACTTACTTCTGGAAAGATTCTGTCTGCAATAGCAACTTTTAAAATTCTTCAAGAGCCTATTGTTAATCTCCCAGACGTGATATCTACAATGGTTCAGTCTAAAGTATCTCTTGACCGTATTGCATCCTTTCTATCTCTTGATGACTTGCCATCAGATATAATAGAGAAGTTTTCAGTTGATG